GGGTAGGAGCTTGCGAGGCCACCGGAAGCAGAGGGTCCGCCTTCTCAGCCCGTTTGCTTTGATGGACTTGGAGAGTGGGAGTTTTTGCTTGGGCACAGTGGGGAAGCCACCCGCCCACTTCAAGTGCCAGCAAGTTTTCTTTGGGCAAGTTTTCTTTGGCCACTGAGACCCTTGGCCATCACCTGCTGTGGCAATAACTACCACATGGCGCTAATGGATGGTAAACCGGTGGGGTAGGCCAAAAACCAGCCTCGTGTCCTGACTAGCGGGGTCGACTTGGGCTGGGGAGGCTCGGGTTCAACTCCCTCGTGTCCTGACTAGCGGGTTCGACTTGGGCTGGGGAGGCTCGTGTTCAACTCCCCACATAGCAGCGAAGGTCACCGGATGACTTTGGGCCAGGCACTCTCTCACAACCCTTGCCCTACCTTACAGGGTTGCTGGGAAGATGAAACGAGGGGAGGTCCGGGGTCGTGTCCTTCTGTGTGTTCCATGATTTAGGGATGCCAGCTTCTGAGTGGGGCCTGGGGATCCCCCAGAATTACAGGTCGTCTCCAGACGGCAAAGATCAGTTCCCTTGGAGAAAATGGGCGCTTTGCAGGTGGACTCTGTGCCCTCCCCAGGCTCCGCCCCCAAATATCTGGGAATTTCCCAACCTGGATCTGGCAACCCTGCCCCCACCCCCTGCCATCAGCAGCCGGGGGCGGGGGGGGGACCTGGCAACCCTTCTTCCAGTCTTTCCGTGGGTAGAAAAATACATTTTTTAAAAAAGAGAGTAAAACCTCACAAGACACAGAATCGCTCACAACTTTTAACCTTGGCTACCCCCCCCCCAACCCAATGCAGTGTTGGAGAAGGCTGTAAGGTTAAGGAAAGGACTGGGGGTGGGGCAAGATGCTATTTAACCCTTTCCCCTCTGGTTGCTGTTCTGACCAAAGTCCCCCCTCCCCACATCTGCTTTTCTCCCTGGGAGGAAATAAATGAGAGCCTCTGTTCTTTCCCCCAGGAGCCATTCCGAGTGGGGAGATACATAAAGGCAAAAGGGTCATGCATTGCCTTCTCCTCCACGGACATTTCTGGCCTCTTAGGGCTGCTTGGGGTTAAAAGAAAGGGACGTTGGGGGAAATATCTGTGCAGTGGCCACTTTCTGCTTTATATACCACCTGGCATGAACCAATGAAGGGCATTTTGCGTGTTGCTCATCAGGTATCCATCCTGAAAATGTAATCAACATGTGTTTGCAATGTGCACGGTACAAAGGTACTCGCAGGTGGAATTGGCTCCAGTTCCCTGCCACTTGTTGTCAAATCCAAGTTTACTTCGGACCACGTATGAAATGCGCAACGAATCCCAGAAATATGTACAGGAAACAAAGATCTCTCAAGGCACGTTTCTGCCTCCTTAGCTACCCTGTGGATTTTTGCACAGAGCTATTTTTTTCTCTGTACTTATGAAGATTTTCCACAAGTGACGAAGGTCTCCTTGGCCTAGCCTGAAGGCTGAAAGAACCGTTGTGTCGCTTTGCTGCTTGATTTTGTAAATAGGCTCTTTTCTGTTCGCTGCGTCTTTAAATCCACTGTTCGGAAAATAGGTGGGCTGGCTCTGAAATCTCCAATTTCTTGACCTTTAAAACTCTCTGTAGGAAGGGAAAACACTGGCACAGTAATAAAAGGAATGTTGTTTAGCAAAATATAATCATCAGCTGGAAAAGCAGCCGAACACACATTGTAGAAAAGAGAGATTGATGGAGCCTTTTGCGAATTAAAAGGACGCAGCCGTTCCCACAGGTACACCTTAGAAATAAATGCAGCACCAGTTTCTTGCTTACAATAATTTTAGCTACGAAAGTTGAACGCTTCTTAAAATACATTTCAATGCAGAGTATAATTTATGTACTTTTCTTATTCATTGTTCTTCTTGCAACTTGGGCAGTGAATGCTAATGAAGAGTTTGGGGGGGGGGGTTACATTTGCTGCGATTGACGGAAAGGGAGCTTGCAATTGAAAGCTGTCTTGCACTCTGTACTTCCGAGAATGTTTTTGTTCCTTTCCTCCACCACCTGCTGGGTCTACCTTTCGAAAACAAGAGAGAGTGTTTTTAAGCTACGCTGCGTTCCCTTTGGAGCTGTCCTGGCCTCCTGCTCCTTTTCTGTAGGGCTGGGATGGGTCCCCCCCCCCAAAGTCAGGCCCTGCTTCGGAAGAAGTTTGCTGTGCTTCTATCCTGGTTGAAACCAAGGAGATCTGAGACCTGCATCTCAGAGATCTATGATTTCCCCCACACACACACACACATTTTTTTTTAAACCCAAAGCAACCTCGGAGATCCTTTCTTACTCGGTTTTCTCTCCCTTGCCTCTGGGAAATCATGATCCTCGTTTTTTGCCTTCCCAAACGTTGTTAGCATGCACTGAGCTGTCATTCATTAGGGCTCAGCCCTTTGCCGAGTTTCTGGCGGTTGAGTCTCTGTGCGGGGGTGGATGCATCACGATCATCGGTGCATAGGAATGCGTGCCCATGAATATGAAGGCGCCATGCAGCGCCCCAGCCTGCCGTTTCACATGCTGCAGCGGCTGAGGTATATTTTGAACGGATGAAAACAGATTGCAAGACAGCTCGCATTTTCTAGGACATCTTTAGGCAAAAGAACAAACACCCTTTTGGCTTTCAGTCAGTGGAGGACGGGATTATTGCAGAGGAAATGAGTGCAACATACGGAGCAGAGCCTTCAGAAATGGGTAGTAGCCGGGTGGGGTCAGACTTGGAGAAGGGATCCTCGCTAGGAGAGGAGAGAGGGCCCAGGTAGGATGGCGGGATTCCTCACCTTTGCCCTTTTGACCGAGAAATCACCCCCCCTCCCCTGGGTCACTTTCACTTCTCTGTTGCATAAATGGGACTGGCGACTCTTTGTGCCATTCCTCCAGCCGAATTTTTCGAACTGTATTCATCAGTGTTCGGTGTGCATCTGCAAATCGGTGGTATGCATTAGAAATGACGTGCATGGTGTGGATAAATAGGGCTGTTTTGGGGCAGGAACGCACAGGAGCGGAGTGCCGGCTGGTTTCCGAGTTGGCCACGCCTACAGCCTTCCTCACCCCCTCGGTTCCCCAGGCGCCTTGCAAGCCGCGGGGCACCTGGGGAAGCCAAGCCGATCCAAGGAGGGAAGTCAGTCTAAACTGCCTCCCCTCCTCTGGTTCCCCAGGCGCCCCACAGCTGCCTGGGGAAGCCAATCCAGAAACTGCCTTCCTTCCCTTCGGTTCCCCATGCGCCCCGCAAGCCACAGGACACCTGGGGAAGCAGATCCTGGGAGAGAGCTGCACTGTCAGGCAGTGTTCCCTCTAAGCTGAGTTAGTGCGAGCCAGCTCACAGTTTTTTAGCCTCCAGCTCACACATTTTTGTCTTAGCTCGGGAAGGATGGCTCCAGAGCAAACTGATTTATGCAGCAGCCAAATCGCTCCCTCTCCAAAACTTTTTTTTTTGGGGGGGGGGGTATGTCCGTTTCTTAAATTCTGTTTTTCAGTCTGCCCTTCTCTCCCCCACATTTCTTCTGACACATCCATTTTTTTGCTGGCCTTGCTGTTTGTCTGTTGATTAATTAATTTACTTTATTTACACCCCATATTTCCCCCCAGTGAGGACGCAAAGCAGCCCGTTGAGTTCTCCTCTCCTCCATTTTACCCACAGGGCAGCCCGGTGTGAGGTGGCTCCGGCCTAGAGTGCGTGGCTGGCTGGTTCTCCTGTTTCTCTCCCCACCCCCCCACCCCGAGGCAGAGGCATATTTTTAAGCCACTTTCTGCTAAAAGTAAAAGGAGCACACACCCCTGCTGGTTTCTGTACGTTCTCTGGCCCTTTATGTGAATGTGCAGAATAACTTGGTGTTTGTGCACATTCTTTATTGAAGTCATACAGGCTGCAAGGTGTTTCATGCTCAGTGCCCTGGGCGTTAGGAAGCTTCACAGCTGCAGCTCCAGGCTATGCTTCTTGGCCAGGAAGGATCGATGTGGACACCGTGTTCTTGGGACACCTGCTGGTTTACAAATCAACCCCTTCAGCCTGGAGGCGGACGGGGCCCACCTTTATGGGGGCCCCAAGGTAGGGCTCATGCCTAGGCCCAGCCTTCCTGCCCTCCTAGCTGAAGAGGGAGCTTGTCTCTTGGAGTCTTGTGTCCAGGGGTCATTTCATAGAAAAAGAGGTACAGGAGCTCATTAGCATAACTCATTAGCGTAACTTATTTGCATATGCCACACCCCCTGATATCACTGGAAGTGTGTCAGAAGGCAACACCCACCACTCAGGCTCCACTGGACTGTTTTGGACCGGGGGGCCGGGGGGAGCTCTGCAACTTACCTGGCTGCTTCTTGCCTTGACTGAGGGCTGCTGGGAGCAGGGGGTGGGGCTTGTTGCATGTGCCTGCCCCTTGGGCTCTTTACTGCCGGAGCTCCGCTCCTGTGCGCTCCTGCAGGATATACCCCTTGCTTGTGTCTCAGATTAAGTGTCCAGAGATATTCAGCATTTCCGTATCTCTGTCCTCTTGGCCTGGCCAGTATCCTTACACCAAGGGAGGGGCCAAGAAAGCTTTGCTTTGGAAAGAAGAATTTCCTGAATGCAGGAGTAGCCCAATAAGCCATCTTAATAAGCTGAGGAGTGTCCCTCTGCCCTGGCTTTACCACCTTCGCCAGCCTGTGTCCTGGCTCTACCATCGCTATCTTCAGCCTGTACCCACCGCATAACAAGTGACCTAACTGAGCTGGTTTGAAGTTATGGGAATTATATGGTCACCTAAATCATATTATAAATAATCTTTGCTCCTGTTTACTTGATAATGTTCCAGCGTTTTAGTTGCATTTTAAATGACTGGTATTTTATGTTTATGATTCTTATGTTACGATAGGTTTTAATTGTATTTTTATGAAATATCTGTGAGCCGCCCTGAGCCCGCCTTGGTGGGGAGGGCAGGGTATAAATTAAATAAATAAATAATCACCAGCCTTCCTTCTTTCCCCACAGCTATGGGTGAACCAAGAAGATGGCGTCGAGGAAGGAACTAGCGAAGTACAGAATGGGCACTTGGACCCAAACGCCGCCGACTGCCTCTGTCTCGGTAGAACTCTTCAGAACCGAGACCAGATGAGAGCCAATGTCATCAATGAAATCATGAGCACTGAACGCCATTATATCAAACATCTGAAGGACATTTGCGAGGTACGTGGCCATCTCCTTGATTAAGATAAAAGTGCCAGAGGTCACCCATGTGTCGTAAGGAATAAACTTGGGCTGGAAGAAACTGGGTTCAAAACCTTGCTCATCAGTAAAGCTCTCTGGGTGGCTGTCCAAATCTATTGCAACCGTGCTGTTGTGAGACTCAACCCCTTGTGTATCACCCAGAGTTCTCTGCTTGGATGTTATCAACATTTTGATATAAAACAATATGCTTGGATTTGCTTTGAAAGCTCGGGGACTCAAACAATGCCAGGAAATTAGGATATCTGTAGTATAACTCATGTCACCTTAAATTTTGCAAAAGAACAAACATTTGCCAAGGGTGGGAGTCCAGGTTGAAAGGCCCTGGAAAGGGCAGGTGGAAAGTCCTGGGAAAACAAAGCTTTCTGCTATGGCAAGCCAGGCACCAGGAGAATCACTGGGGCAAAGCGGGTTGGCAGTTGAAGAACCGCAACTGAAAAGGCACTATCTCTAACACATACCCGCAAACAAGGATACACGGAGCGGGACATTTGAAGCAGGTCTTCTAAGCTCAGGGGTACCAGATATCTCTGATGACACTTGTGACACTGGAAAGTAGAGCGGCTTGTTGTCAAGACTTTCCCCTAGAGCTGTAGAAGAGTTATGCACATATACAACGTGGTGATGGAAAGGGTCAAGTCCCAGCCGACTTACGGCAACCCCGTAGGGTTTTCAAGGCAAGAGACGTTCGGAGGTGGTTTGCCATTGCCTGGCTCTGAAAAAACTAAGAAAAACACTGTAGTATCTTATTGCAAGTACAAACAGGGGTCATTTCGTAGAAAAAGAGGTGCAGGAGCTCATTAGGATAACTCATTAGCATAACTTATTTGCATATGCCACACCCCTTGACATCACCGGAAGTGTGTCAGAAGGCAACACCCGCCGCTCAGGCTCCACTGGACTGTTTTGGATCGCTAGCTATCGGGGGGGGGGACGTGCAGCTCTGTCCTTGCGGAGGAGGGAGAGCTTGTACCTGAATAAAACTTGGTCTTCAAGGTGCCACTGGACTGTTTTGGGCCGGGGGGGGCTTTGCAGCTTACCTGGCTGCACCTTGCCCTGACTGGGGGCTGCTGGGAGCAGGGTGTGGGGCTTGTTGCATGTGCCCGCCCCCTGAGCTCTTTACTGCCGGAGCTCCGCTCCTGTGCGCTCCTGCAGGAAATGACCCCTGAGTGCAAATAAATTTACCAGCTCCAATGTGAACAAAATTGATAAAGGATCACAATTTGTTTAAGGCATTTGCAAAGTACCATCAAATGAAGAGATCAGTATACAGTTCCCATTGTTGATTTTACAGCAGAAATAAATTCTTCATAGAAAGGATGTAGCTGTGTAATGCAACAATGGACACCTCCTGGAAGACCGTTTCAAATTAGAAATCCTTCCTCAAGGTTTTCATTATAAAAGCCTTATAATGAGGAGCCGATGCTCTCATCAGTATTTCACATGCAAAAAGCTATTCATCAGTTTTGTAGGCAGGTAGGCTCTCATTGCCGAGTTTATACCTCTTCCTTAAATCTAAAAGTTCCTACTGAAACATGCAATTGCCCGCAGCTTTGTAAATGCCTTAAACAAATTGTGATCCTTTATCAATTTTGTTCACATTGGAACTGGTAAATCTATTTGTACTTGAAATAAGATACTACAGTATTTTTCTTTGTTTTTTCATTCTCTATACATTGTGAACGATTTTATGCAAGAGCTGCGCCGTGGTCGCGCCTCCCTTTGCCCCGCTTCTATTGGTCAATTTCCCACTCAAAGCCGCACGGCCACATTTTGACTCCCGGCTTCGCCCAATTTCCCCAGCAGTTTCGTGATCCTGTTTTTTGAGGATCACAAAACCGTGGGGAAAATCGGGCAAAGTCGGTGAGCCTGGGTTGTCCTCTTCGTCCCAAGGTGGGTCACGGCAACAGTGCTACTATTGTCATTTTTCTACACCTACTCCTACACCTACTCCTATGTTGTTGGGGGGGGGGAGTTGGTTGTTGAAAGGAGGAGGACGAGGGGGAGGAGTAAAACTGAGAGGGAGGGAGTAAGAAAAAATAAAAGTCCCCCCCTCCTTTCTCCAGGTCGGGACTGAAAGGGATCCCAGGTTGGGAAAAGTAGCCGGGGAAGGCCTCTTTTCTCAGTCACAGCAGTGCTTGGTGGTCATGGGAGAAACCTCCCCTGATCCCCAGCTGCATCAGGCCATCCAGGGCCCACTGACTGTGCAGCCCCTGCTTTTTGGACAGTCGCGGGGGGGATGTCAAAGGCCAAACACGGGCCTCGAGGCCAAAACCCTCAGCGGGCGTCCTCAGCATCCCGCTCAGGTCTGTTCGGTCGGCCCAACTCCCAGGAAAGCGCTCACGGAATGGCCCAGGGAGTCCAGCATGTTTTGGGGGAGATGTTTGTGATTTCCCACTTCCCCAGCAACAGTTGCACGTCCACTGTCACTGCGGATGAGTGTCTGACCATGCAACAATGAGCAATTGCCGGGCATGAAGCTCTCTAGCTGGCTGGTCTTTCCTTTGTCTGGAAGATACTCGTGAGACCCTGGCTGAATGCTGCCAAATGTTGCCGTCTGACTGATTCGGCTCGAAAATCCCTGCTTCTGTTTTTGTCTCTGTCTTACGCGTGTCAAATGCATGAGCCTTTCCTTTCAAGCCATTTTCTGAAATGTTCCTATTTATAATGTCTATAATGTTATTTTGGCATCGGTTGCAATGGCATAAAAATGGACGTGAAATGGCATCGCAGCGACGGACAAAGAAGCCCATATCCCCATCAGATGAAGTGGATGAAAGGCAAAGGCTCATGAGAACAACCCGCAAAGCCCACAAAAGGAACGAAAAGGGACCCTCATACGTGCCTAGCCCGGTGCCAGGTCTTGTCCTCTGAATGGGGAAATGTCAGCAGTAGCCTGGCACAAGGCACGGGGAGTAGGCTGGCTTGTCTTTTCAACAGGGACCGAAAATATAATAGTTGATCTCATTACAGAGCAGCTCACCAGATACGGGCTTGAAATGGGAAACCGAAAACAGGCAGTCGGTGGGTTAGCAAGACTCTGGGTTGGCAGATGATCCAAGACTTGCAATGCTAAAGTATAGAAAGGTGGGGAAATGCAGGGGGCGTGTGTGGAATGGAGCCTTTTGCACACCCCTGATGTGGGGGATCCACCACATCTGGCTACAGCTTCTGGGCAAGCGGAGGCCCTAAACAGCTGCAGTTCAAGAACAGCGGACTGGATAAAAGGACTGGAGGGCTGGGAAGGTAAAAATCAGATTGGCTTCCAGGGTTGGCTAGGGATGCCAGTACCCAGGCGGAGGTGGGGGTGGGAGATCCCTGATTTGGTGGTCTCCTGCCCGCCATCGGCCAGCTGGCCAGATGGGGAAGCCCCCCTAAGCCCCGCCCCCCAACAGCGACCACCAATGGCCACCCCTCTCCCCTCCCTCCTGCAAAATTTAAAGGGCCTTCCAGTTGATCGGTGGGAGCATGTGGCCCGCCGACCAGCTAGAGGGCCCTTTAAATCTTGCAGCAAGAGAGACGGGCAGCCGCTGGCCACACTCCTGAACTTCAAGTGCCGAATTTGCTGCTTGGAGTTCAGCCCCCCCCCCTTCTTGCCAAAAGCCTTTAAAAGAGACCTTTAAATGCTTTTTGCAAAAAGCGGGGGAGGGGGTGCGCTCCTGAATTGTAGTCACGTGTGGGCCCCGCTTCTTGCCAAAAGGGGCCCTTTAAATGCTTTTGACAAGAAGTGGGGGGGGATGCGACTGCACTCCCAGCGGTGAATTCCCTGCTTGGAGTACAGGCGGGCAGGGCACCGGTCCCCACCCCCTCCAGAAATGCCCCCCAAAGTCCTCCACCAAGGACTGGGAAGGGCCTGGCCACTCTAGGATTGGCCGTGGTCAGCACTGGGATGGAAGACTGCCGTGGGAGCCCAGAGTTGCTATGCGGAGACAGGCCATGGCCAACCACCCCCGTCCGTCTCTTGCCCTGAAAACCCTATGGGGACTTGCCATAAGTCGGTTGCGACTTGAGGGCACTTGATTATTATTTCTATGCAATCCATGGTCGCTCACAAAACTAGGCCCAGCCCCTGATTTTCCTGATTCATAGCCCCGATTCCCTCCTATGCAGTCATCTCTTGTCTCTGGCTGGTCTGTGGAAACACCTGTGTCTGTGCCGCGGCCCCACTGTCTTCAGATGCCACTGCTTGGCCTCAGGAACTGCCGAGAGAAAGAGGGCAGTTCTTTTTTTCTTTGCTGGGTCCTGGGAGCTCTTCCTCTTCGCCCCTTCTCTTCAGGGCAGAGCTTCAAACTTCTCTTCTTCATAGGGGTTCCAAATCCAAAGACCACAGCTCAGAACGTCTGCCCCAGCTCCTTGAAGAATCCACGGCCCTCTTTGCAGCCGCTGCGGAATCTTCTTTTGCTGAGAAGCAAGATCCCGGGGCAGTACATGGGAGGGGGCTCTGCCCCCTTTTTTGTGTCTAGGTGCGGGCCGGTGATTTCAGCACAGAAGCAAATCAGTTTACGTTTTTGTCTTTGTCATTTGAATCACATGGGTCTGTGCTGCAGAAGAACCCGTGTCCCTGATGTTTGCTCTTTTCCTTTTCCCACTTGTGACTTGTCCCCCCAGTAGCAAAAAGAAAGTCGGAATACGCCAGACTGACATACCTGCTCTTTTAACTGGCTCTCCAGGGCCATCTTCTCAGTGAGTCTGACGACAAGGAATGGCCGCGGTTTCCCCCAGCCCCTGCACAGTATTGCTGGAGCTTCTTACTTGGCTCTTTATTATCCCAAATGGAATCGAATGAGAAATCTTGCCAGAAGGTGGAATGCCAGCAAATCTTTTCAGATGTCTTTGTAAAGTAGAGAAGACTGGAAACGAGCATTTGCCATTTGCAAAGCGACGGGGCCGGCTGCTGGTTCAGAAAAACTCATTTTGCCCAAATTAAGTGAACACAATCTGAGCAATGTGGCTCCCCTCCC